TGAGACTAATAATGGCTGGAGACGGCTTAAATGGGTAATGAAGAAAAACTTTAATATAAGTTTAACATAACAGCAAATGTACAACGTTTCGACAAGGTTTTGTCATCATCTGTTCCGTTGTCGAACCGTTGTACATTTGCTGTCATGTTAAACTTATATTAAAGTTTTTCTTCATTACCCATTTAAGCCGTCTCCAGCCATTATTAGTCTCAAAGTGGGTTCCTCGTCATCGAATTTGAATTCTTGACTTACTCCAATGTCATACAATTTAGGAAGTTAGGGCCATTCTGATATAAACTGTAAAATATTGTCATTGTGTGTTTGCTTAGTAAACAAACATATTTCCCCTTTTGAATTTTAAAATTTTTCTTTCCCTCTTTTGAAATTAACACATAAAGTTTAGCTTAAAGTCGTATAGATTTTGTTGTTTGTAGGTATCAACACTCTTTCCACGGAGTTGATCTTTCAAGTCTAAGAGATGCAGCTGTAGAAGAATATTTTCGACAACCAGTAGTTGTAAGTTTATTATATCTCGCATGTAATCCATATTTATTGTATAATGAAGTGTAAAAAAGCAAAAGTTATTATTTTTTTTTTATATATAGGTTGACTTTTTATCTTCAGATTAAACTGAAAAGCTTTTTCTTAATAGTAAGGAATAAAATTTGATTTTAATTTATTACTATTTCTTGTTAGAAACTGTCACAATATACATTGAATCTTTGAATTCTTTATATCTTACCCTTGCACAAGTGAAACCCTCTTTTAAGTAACCAGCTAACCATTTCTGCAATAAAGGGGCATCATCAAAGTCTCCATTTTTCTTTCTTGCATTGGAAATACTTGCATTTTGTTTCAGTTAAAAAAAAACTCATATTATTTAAATAGTTTTTATCATATTGTAGGCTGTGAAATTTTGAGACACTGTTCTGAAAAAGACATAAATGCTTTTTGTGGGTTTAGAAATTTTGTTGTTGTTGATCAGGTTTCCTTTTATTTATATAGTTAGTTTCAACTTGATGGATATTAATTCGCAAATGTCTTTTGGTGTGTTATTTTGCCGATTGCAATAATCACCACTTTGGGCTATATTTGTAAAAAAATATGGCAAAACCTAACAAAGATTTATTGGTGACCTAGGACCACATGCGCAGTTTTTCTTGGGGAAACATTCTAACTACGCATGCTTATGCAGCAGGTTCTCGGTCAGAATGCGTAACGGTTGTAGATACGAACAAGCAAAATAATAGTATAGATTGTAATAATGGCTAATAGAAGTTATTTTATTAGGAGATGACTTTTGCATAAGAAGCAAACTGTGTTTTTTATGAGACGAAAAAGAACTTTTAATTGTAATATATTTTATTTGTTATGTGACCAAAAAAATATATTTTAATTGTAATATTTTTACAACAAAGTTGTAAATTTTGCTTAAAAATTAACTTGAGGTTTTTTTAAAAATATTTGCAACATGCCATTGAGTTAGACTAGTTTTAGGATGTTCCATCCTGCGTGTAACAGTGGACATTAACTAACCATGGAACAAATCCAAGCTTTTGTATAGGTGAATAGGCATGGTATATAGTTTTAAAGTGCCCAAAACTTACTTCAAATAACCTGTTTTCGTATAGATACTTGAATAATATGTAGCATTAATGTTACATGTTCTTCAACTGCCTATAAGATTATCAGTTATTTGTGGTATTTCAAGAACATTTCAAACATAATATATGTATCAAACTTGGTGGCACATTATAATCATAAAAACCAATTGTCGGTCGATCAGTCAGTTGGTCATGCTAGATTTCTCCTACCTCATCACCCACCCAACCGTTAACTCACTGGTACCAAGTTCGCTGTTTAATTCACTCCCCATTGATTGTGCAGAGAGGTCAAGTCGTAACAGGAATGGTAGTCCTAAGTTCAAATCCAATGTAAATAGTTTTACATCAGTATGCCATTAATTTTTTGTCTGTACAAAAACAACCTGCCTCTTTTCATTGTCCCTTCCCATTTTAGTTGAATTCACTCAGTAACATAGGCATAAATAGCTCCTAAATTTTGGAACTTTTTGTGCTGTTTATATACCGAGAATTTATTTAGCACTGAGTGAAAATAATTTCCCATTTATTGTAAAGGGAAGTTTTTGATCGATGATCAAGTATTTACAAGAAATGTGGTATTAAGAGAACTATTGCAATAATGCAATTGATGTGATAAGAAAATAACTTGATCAGTGAATGCTGGGACAAGGATCTATGCTGGGAAGAGACACTCTGTAGGTAAAGGAAATATTGCTCATGATAGACGTTGGTTTCCCGAAGCTAGAAAGCCCTGTATTTTTCTTATGTCTTTTTATGGGTGGAAAGCTACAAATATATATATTGGAGGATTCATGTTTGGTAGGTTTTGGTTTCCCATCAACTTTGATGGAGTTTTATACTAGTTGTATGATAAAACTTGACATACATTTACATATAGCAACAGCTTTGTTAGATCATTACTGTTATCTTTCAAGATAATCTCAGTATTAAAGCTGTCTTGGGTATTTGATGAAGTAGCAAGTTAAAGGCAGTTATTTCTCCACAAATTAATCATCATACTAGTTCTAAATGGACACTAATATTTGACTCTATGCATTAAAAATTTAGTAATTAGAGTTATGTAGTAATGAATTTCTAAACCTGAAATGTTCCTCAACACTGGTAAGATTTCTAGCTTTATACTTTCAGCTTAGTTATTGTTAATTTTCAATGATCTCACAAGTATGTGGATGAAAAGTACCAGTTTACTTAAGAGAAAAAATACAGCATAAATGATCAGTCTTCCTATTTACTTTTAGGATACCTTCGACATTCGGATCTGTTTAGCCAAGTCTATAAGCTACACTGTAGATTTTGAGACTTCATCAGAATCTGATCTTCACAAAATAGAAATTCCACTCAGTTTCCATATTCTTCAGTCTGGAGAAATTCATGGCCTTGCATTCTGGTTTGATGTAGCTTTCATTGGCTCAACGTATGTGTACACATGTTTTTACTAATTTGAAAACCAGGAAGAAACTAATTTAATCTAGTAATCTTGCATTTAATTTATTATAACATAATTATTGATATTTTTCTGTACCTTTAAGTATTTGTTTGTTTTCAGCCACAAGAATGTTTTCAATAGGTGTTAACAGTGTAATATTATTAATTTATGTTAAAGCTTGAAATGTCACATTTGACTCCAGTGATAGGTAAAGCACTTAAATATATTTGTATTGTGTATCTTGTGTACAATGAGGAATAAATACATTATTGATTAAAAATATAATAATAACATTGGGTGTCCATAACTTATTGAACTACTTTATTAATTGAATATAATGGGAACTACATAAGATGAACAGTTGTGGTTTAATTATAATGGAGTCTAACACCCGAGGTTTTGTCCATGGGCAGTGTTCGTTTCTGGATGGGTGTACAAGCAGTAATTGATCTCTGGCCATGTACTGGCTCTTTTATTATGTATTATGAAGCACATTGCCAGTCTCTTCATATTGTTTAAATCACCTTCAAATGGTCACCTGGTTAGGTGCACGTGAAGCTTTGCTATGGATTCCTGAACTCCCTCTGCATGAGTGTTGCCAATTTGAACTGTGTGAGCCACAAAATGCATTTTGCTTTTTTCCTCACTCTTGCCATTTTGATGTATATGGCTCAAACATCACATTAATGGCAGGGGGCTCCATTTAAACTAATAGGAAAAACTTCAGACAACAGTTGCTCACATGTTGCAAAACACAAATGATTATCTGGTGTTGTTCATATTCTCTTTAATTAAGAGAGTGGGTCAGTAATTTATAGACGGCATGGCTTGTACATCTTATTGTGCCAATTTGTCTATATCTATCACTGTGAGTCCTTTTAAAAAGATTTCCAAAAAGTTAAAAGCTCTGACAAAGATAAATGTTAACTCCATTTTATTCAACATGGAAAATGCTTTAATGAGTGAATAACTTGAGGCTTGAATGACACTGTGCTAATGAAAGAAACTCGGATATTTACCAGACCACCTTTATTTCTTAGAATCTTTTTTTCTAATATGTCAGTTTTAACTAAGGAAATTATTGTTGTTTGGTGATTTCCATTATAGAAATGAAATAACATGATGAGTACTTACACTGTTACGCATTACAGATTGAATTTTTGTGGATGCTATGTAATTGGAAATGTAAGTGTTCATTATTTAACGAATACTGTATGAAGTAATACTCAGGTACATGATCCTGCTGTTAAGCTCTTTGGCAGTCGTGTGTATTTTTGGATGACTTCTCTATGTTCAGGTTGTATGAAAAGAGACAAGAGTGACTGAATAAAAATGGTTAGGTGAGATTTAATTGCTAAATATGTTGCTCTCAGAGTTAAGACATAACTTTCAATAGGTCTTAATATTAAACCTAAAGTTATTTCAAATTGGATACATGAAACGAGCACTGCAGTAAGTAAAGAATAATATAGCAAGAATGAGATATTGTAAAGGTGAGAACAATGCAGTAAGCTCATGATACAATTCTTAACATTAATACAAAAAAAGAGGGGCATGGGGAGGCTTAGTCTCACCAAGTAAACCATTCCTCTTGTGACATTATTCTCACCAAACTCAAAAATATTATACAATATTTGTGGAAAGAGAGACAGAGAAATCGAAAGAGGGTGTATGTGAGTCACTGAGGGGAGCATATTCATTTTGGAGCATGAACTGATTCTACTTGCAAGCATATGATGAAATGTCCTTCACAATTCTTTTTAAATATAAAATTTTTTTAGATCAACGCACAGAGCCAATTCCACAAAATCATACTTACCAATAAAGAATATGCTGCTTGCTATTAAGTCAACCCCCACATATGTGCACTGATATGTTTGTTGTATCCCACAGTAAATTTTATGATTGTTTTGCAAACCTAACGCATGGGATTTTGTCAAATGTCATCGAGCATCTCCCATAGTGACAGTAAACACTAACTCTTGAACTCTAATTTTGGAAGTTGCCTTGCTACACATTGTAGATATCAAAATTTAGTCTTACTTAGAGATTAAATATAGCAATAGTTATTTTTTTCCAAATGTTCATGTACAGTGCAGGTAATGTTTGCAGCATATTGAGCGTATAATGCCTAACACTGAAAAATACTAATTGTATACCTTTGTATTAAATCTCAAAAGAAAAAGAAATTCTTATAAGGAGTTGATATAAATTAATACAGTTCAGAAGCAAAAGAGAAATTAACAGTTGTATAAAACCAGATCTTTATCTATAAACAGATTTGAATTTCAAGACATTTTAATATTACTGTTTTCATAGCTGATAGTCATCAAAGTTTTCCATATTGTTCTTCAGTTGACTCTGATTTTAAGAGCTGTATGCTCCCCAGTGACTCAGCAATAAGTCTGGAAGCTTATGACACTACAAATTTGGTTTTGATACCCATAATTGCCAGAGCACAGATAGGTCGTGTAATTTTGTGCTTAACAACAATCAAACCAGTTAAAAGTTTTTCACATTTTTTTTATGAGTGGGGGAGGGGGGGTACAATATCAAAAGACTTTTTTGATACTCATTGTTTTTCAAATTTCTTTCAAGTTTTGATGTATATACCGTATATAAATGCTGATGTGATAATTTTAATTCACACTGAAGTCTTGTAATTTTATTTTTCTGTATTAATAATATTTTTGTTTGATTACAGTGTAATGTATATAACTAAATACTGGTTTTAAAAGTAGTTTTTTTACTTACTAATCCTGTTAACATATTTTACCACAAAAAGTTGTGGATAAGAAAACCTTCAGATATCTTAAAAACCATTTGTTTTTCTGTGAAAAGTACAAGGTTTGGGTTTAAAGCAAGCAGTTTTGAATTAGTATCAATAGTATCAATAGTCCTGCTTTAGTGTCCAATGGTTATAATGTTATATAAATGGTGCTCAAAGCTATAGCTAGGCAATTAGTGGTGTTTGGTAATCAATTAATCAATGGACCTCTTAATCAGTACAGTGCCCCACAAACCATGGTACAAGCCGCCCCCCCCCCAAAAAAAAAGCCCAAGAGTTGGCTGTGGGTGCTGCAAGTCAATTGCCCTCCCTCTAGTCAGCAGTTCAAAATTAAGGACAGTGGCAGATAAACTTGGTGTCTTTGCCATAACAAAGAAAAATATAAAACCTGTGGTTGACAGGACAAACAAGTTTGGCAGCATATCACCAGGCATGCTGGTCCAAAGTTGGACAAACTTGAGGTGAAAAGATAGCTAAAAAACAAACTTATGGTGTAAAAATCTAGTTTCAGTACCTTACTGTCAGCAGAGCATAGATACTCCAATATATATCTTTGTGTGCTTAACAAAAAAAAGCATATCTAAGTAATCATTATATTATCAACAAGAGCAATCAAAAAGATTGCATACCCTCACCCTGCTCCTTCTTTTTGAAATTGCATCAGATCCAGAATGATCAAGAATGTAGATCATTTTGTGTAGTGTGATGAGGAGTCTCAACTTTAATGTGCTCATAAAATTTGGTACAAATCCGATCACACTTTACAGAATTATTAACCAAAAACCATGAAAATACCCTATTATCCAATTATAAAAAAATGCATCAAAGTGATCCAGAATCTGGATTTGGATCTGGACCAAATTTGGGGAGGACTGTCCCATACTGACTTTCCATTTTGTGTAAAATTTTCGTTTACATCGGTCTATTAGTTTTCAAAATACGCTTGCAGAAACACAGACACACGTGGACTTGATTACAATACCCTCTCAGGGTGAGGGTAATTAGTTTTGACACTAATCAGTTAAGCTGCAAACTCGATTTAATCAAAACTACTAGCAGTATTTCAATTACTGGATAATTAGAATTATCAAAAACAGTAGTAATTGAAACATTATTTTCGTGATTATTTTCGTGACAGTTGATTATTGGACACTGATTTCATTTAGTTGATTATTTTTCAGGAAACTTATTGATTAATCATAATTTCAGTTAATCTGTTAAATTGCTGCTTATAGGTAATCAGTTATATTGATTGATCAATTTCATTTCCTAGCTCTATTTAAAAATAGTTAACTACCATAAACAGAATAACAGATTATGATTTAAAATAAATGAAAAACGTCATTTTTAATGGCTGAAAAATACAAGGTGTAAATGCATAGTCTTGACCATTCTGGAATGGAAATTGGCTTAGACATGAACATATTTTTTCTGTTTGTTTTTTTCAGGCACACTGTATGGTTATCTACATCACCCACCCAACCGCTAACTCACTGGTACCAAGTTCGCTGTTTAATTCACTCCCCATTGATTGTGCAAAGAGGTCAGGTCGTAACAGGAATGGTAGTCCTAAATTCAAATCCAAGGTAATTAGTTTTACATCAATATGCCATTAATTTTTGTCAATAAAAAAACAAACAATTATCTTGTATGGTTTAAGTATAGTCACACTGATTTAATATAAATAATAAATGACAATATTCTAGTTAAATGAAGACTTTTACCACAAAAATCTACATTAAAAGTATGAAGTAATTGTTTGGCTTATAGGTATATGATTTTATTACAGACTGAATGTAAATACTTAGAGTACAGAAAAACAGTGATTGTATTTTTTTTCGTCACCCACATAAACTTCTGTGGCTTAAACCTTCAAAGCTGTCACAGTTGAATTAAGAGTGATGTATGTTTGTATGTATAATGAGAAACAATGTGACACAGCCTTTTACAAAAATTCTTTACACATGAATATACACATGTTTGTATGTGTTGTAAGCATGTATATTAATTGTGAGTCAGTTGTTTATTAAAACCTAAAACAGGAATTGACAGGAAGAAGCAGCTATTATTGTGCAGATCAAAGTTGTCAAGGCTTATTGTTCAATAACGAGCAATGGAGCTAAAATTCAATAATTTTTTATAATATTAGGCAGAGTTATGATGTTGACATAGAGCTGAAAATTGAAGGAACAAGTGCATGCAGTCGTAACTCATTAGACCTTAAGAATCCATTCTTTCGATACACCGGTCAACCACTTCAACCGCCTCCTGGATTTAATGAAACTTCTCCTAGTGAAAGCTATTGGGAGACATTAGATGCTCAAAATGGTGAGTGTAATCATTTAAATATCATAACATTTCATCTTTTAATATTTCACTACTTCTGTAGAGACTTTGCTGTTGAAGAAAAGAGATGAACTTCCTAGAATAGAAAACTGAAGTGTATTTATATTTTACTGGACATTTGGAAGAGGGGAGGTAAATATTATGGAATTATATAAGTAATAAACATAGTCCACATATTTAGTTTACAATTGTTTTGAGTTATATGACTGGAATTTCAAGAAATATTAGTTGCCATTTTCAGTGATTTGCCAGTACTAAATGATGTTACATAAACACATTTATAAGCAACCATTCAAAAGATATAAGACTGTTGTTATAAGTTTTGTTTAGTTAATTAGCTTTTTAATAAAATTTGCTCTAACTTTTCTCTAAGCTCCTGTAGATCTTGTGATTTATGGTTTACTATTACTTTAGTTTTGACATACTTATGTTGTCAGAGTATGTTTTCACTGTGAATAAATCTTCTCTATTAAGAAATGTTTTCTGTGATTTCAGCCACGAACAATGTAAATCTTATGGTAAATGGCATTGCTTTAATGAATGGAAACACAATGATGGATGTGCAGAGCATTCAGAATCCCCAGCCTACACAGCTTGGTGTCCACCATTCTAACTTAATTTCATTAGGTAAGTTCAGTATCTTTGAGCTGTTTTTTTACTAATTAATAAACCCATAATAAATGTAAAACTTGTTAGTTTTGTGTCAATAGTCTTCTTTTTTTTCAATAACACTGAATTCAGCCTTGCATGTGGGATTTCCCAAAATAATATGTATTTTTTTTTTTTTTTCCTTAATGCTACTAACTAACGTTTTCTCTCAGCTCTAACTAAGATTGTTCCTTTTTGTTTTTACTATTATCGTCTAGTAAAACTAGTTTTGAGATTTAAATCAAAAGTTAGGAACTTTGATCAATAGCATTTAGTATTTTTAAGAAAACAGTTAATGTGGTAACAGTGATGAAAAAATTATTGCTGTGTACTCTAAAAATACAATTTTGTTTTTCAGTTGTAGAATTATGTATCCATTATGGCTCTCTTGATCTTCCAACAGAAATAAGAAATATTAATGGCTGTTCTTTAATAGCCAATACTTACTGATTTATACTTATTTGATCTTGAACCTTGATATTACAGTATAACAAACCTTAATATGAAACACTATGGTTTGAATATTTTTTTTTGTGGGAGGGGGCATGATATAACTTTAATAACAATCTTAAGTTTTATTGACACTGCTGAAAACTTTTATCTCCTCAGCAAAACCTTCCCGGGAAAAAAAAACATAACAGACAGACAGCATATATAGTTAGTGATTAAATTATACAGAAGATTTCAATTTTAAACAAATGCATTTTGTATTTTATGAATAAAAGTGTTCCAAGAAAGTTTGATGTTAGATAGACAAGGATTTATTTGATGTTAAAAAACTGTAGAGACGAGATTTAATGCCTTGCTTATAATCTTCACAAACACATTTTTTTGTGCATTGATCATTTAACTTCTTCTAACACTTGTAAAATACAACAAAGTACAAGAAACAGGTCAACTTGGATTTAACCCATTTACTACTGTCTCATTGATTACACTGACCACATGACCCAAAAATGACCATCAGAGTTCCATACTATAACTTTTAACAACTATTAATATGTTTTGTGTATTTTTGTGAAATGTTTCAAATATTTAGTGAACATTATAAGTGTTTTGTAGGAAAAAAACACAATTTTCAGTTGAGTATTTTTATTAAATATTTGTCCATGAATATATGGAGTCAGAGTGCTGAATGCTCCGAGTGCAAATGGATTTTCATGTTAAGATTTGTATAATTTCTAAAACCACCTCAATAATTATCAATTGTTTTTTCCAGAAAATCTTTATATTTTATCTGTTATTTTCTCTACCCTAATTTTATAAGGAGCTGGTCAGTTTGAATGATCTCGTAACCACCATAAAACTTTAAAGGTTGAAAAATGTGAAATAAAGTGAATAGTACTGTTCTATACTTTTCAGTAGTAACCGTGAAATTCTAAGGTACTTTTCCCGAGAGTTTCTGTATCTGATCTTTTCACATCTATTTCCTATGATTATTTTATTGTTAGTGGCTGAATATAAAGAAATGAATCGCTGCTCCTGCCATTAGACTATTTATGTGACACGATAATATAACACAGTCAATAGCAAATAAGCTTGTGCAGTGCAATTTCCAGAACTTTCCCACACACATTTTATCGTAATCCTGTCTCCAAGACATCAGTGGTAGAGGATTTATTAGCTACTGTAAAGTGGTTACAGAGAGAATTGTCTAAAGTAATAAAAGTAGGAGAAAATATTTGATATGCCTCTGTGCAAAGTCTGAGTCAATCCAATAAATTCTATAGATGTTTGGATGTTAGTTATCCTCCCAGGGTGGTTGGAATTAAGCAGTATAGATGTACAAAGTGTGCTTATGAACATGTGTATGTATATTATTAATGTTTACTTATAAATTCTTAATTTTTAATTATATTTCTTAAAACATAGAACAGTATATAAAAAATGTATAGAAAAAAAAATTATTTCTAGTGCTTACGATATTACAAAATTGAGTTGTATTTGCATGTTGTACTTGCTAAGCCTTGCAGTACGGCTCCTTTATTCTCTAAAGTGGAGGAGGAAGACAAATTAATTTTTGTTGATTTTAAAAGATGGATTTTTAGAAAACCCAAAAAATTATCACATTACAATACTATAAAAACCACAGTAATTTATTTGACTTTCCAACTAAGCTATATGTTTGTTAAAGAAAACTCATTTCTGTTCGGGGCAACAACTTAGTCAATAAACTTCAACATTTGCAGTCAGTTACAAGTTTCACCTTTAAGCCATTTACAAATGACTGTCAGGTTTATGTAGCTTGGAATGTGCTCTTTCTATTTGTTATAAACACGTACTTAAGAGAAGTAGGCATGAATATAAAAGGGGGTTTCAGAAGAATGGAGTAGTTGGTGAGACTACAATGGTAGGTTTGCAAAATATACTGATATTTCAGCACATCAAAAAGGTGGGAAGTTCTTTTACATTCTAGCTTGTAAATGTCAGAAATTTGAATTTCTAATTTGTTAACTACTATAGACATTGTATGGTGGTGTGTAATAAAGCAATAAGACAAGAAGATATGCTAAACAAAAAAAGCATATTTAATATTTTATTTTGGATTAATAAATTTTAAAATATATAATTTTAAGATTTGAATTATAAACTACATTGTGGTATGAACTTTATTTACATACAATGATAATAAAATTGTCTAATTAAGTTCTGAAAATAACTAAAATGTTATGACATGGATCCTTTGACATGTCTCTAGAGAGAGGGTTAAAAACTTTACAATATACCATAACATTTTAAAAATTGTTGCTACACCAAATCTATTTATGAAATTTAATATTTTACTTCATAAAATATTTTTTTAGTTAACGAACCCTATCACCACAAGCATCCTTTACTGTACATGTCATGAGGTTTTAGTGACTTACATTCAAAATTTAATTAAACTATTTTTTGTTTATATTATACCAATTAGTGTAGCATAAATTCATAGTTAATAATCCATATTTTAATAGTATATAAATTTTAAGTTCTTAATTTTATAAGGCAATATTAAACAAAATCTTGAATTTCCCCTAGTGTGAGAAATGTGACATATTTTCTCTAGGCATCCCCTCTTCTCAATTTTATTGACCACACCTTTAATAATTACGAATTTTAACATAAATTACTCACTATAAAATCGTCATTGCTCAGACAAACCATAATTTTTATAGCCTTCAATCCTGTTTGGTTACAGAGCCATCAAGTAGAAAATCAGACCCCTCTTGCCACATCCACCTGTCACATCCTCTGTTTTGGGATTTGTTAGTAGTTATCTCTTACTCTTATTACTATATTATTATAGCCAATAGAAAGCCAAGGTTTTCATGTATGAAGTGAAATATTATATTACATTGTTTTCTGAACAGAGAATTGTCATTTTCTCTGTTAGTACAAGCTTCGTTCCTATGGGAAAGATAACGACTAGCTTGGATGAACTTGTAACAGCTTTTGTTGCATAGCTAGAAAGCCAGAAAGATTGTGATAGTTATGGAAATTGTCTGGTTTTTGCATGTTTTTATTCTATGTTCTTTGGTGTATTATTTAATTTATTAAAAATTATTTTGTGCATTAGTATCATTAGTAACTGACAGTCGACAGCAAAAAACAAGAAGACCCAGGTAAGTACTTTATTTCGTGTTTATTCTTTATTTATTATTATAAAAGTGACTAAAATGTAAAGATAGGGATCTCTTTAGGTTAGTTAAGGTTAGATTAGGTAAAATAAATAGAAATAATAATATAATAAAAATGCATGCATGCGAGCAGCTCAGAGTAGCTCCTGGGTAATGTAATTTGATAGCATAACGTGAGCTTCACGTTCCCCAAGTGATTTACCACTTATAATAGCATGAATAGTATTAGTTAGATGTGGTTCAAAGAGCAATCAAAGGGCAATAAAAAAATATAATATAGTATGACTAGATGTATACTGTTACAAGTTTAAAGCTACTTAGGATAAACGAATGTAGTTTCATTTTACAACTTGAAGTCATACTAAAAAGAAAAAAATGGTAATTTAGATTTATTTAGATTTTTTTTTGGTGGTTACAAGGTCAGTCAAATTGACTAACCTTGTATAGAGTTAGGGTAGAGAAAATAACAGATAAAATATCTAGTTTTACTGAAAACAAACATTTGAAATGTATTTAGTAGGTTTTAGAAATTATGCAAATGAAATTTGAGATTTTTGAGATGAAGAAAAGTATTTTCAATCTTAACATGAAAATTACATTGCACTAGGACTAGTAAAAAAAATTGATATATTCACAGATAAGTCTTTTTTTAGTTTATTAAAAATACTGCACTTCAAAAATGTTTTTTTTTTGTATGTGAAAGACTTGTAATGTTTACTGAAAGTTACAGAATTTTGTGAAGCTATACATATATTAAAAGTTAGTATCAAACTACAAAGACTTTAAATAAGTTCAAAGAGGTCACGTGCTGCTTACTAAAAGACTGCATCAAAGATAATTATAGATAATGTCAAAATTCAGACTTGTCAATTTAAATTCATAAAAGGCAAAATCTATTCACATATATATATATATATAGAACTAGGCTATTAGTGTTATTTGCTAATCAATTAACAGCCCCATCTATCAGTTATATTTAATTATTCAGTCAGTACAGTATTGTATTCCTCAGACTGTGGTATGTACAAGCAAAAAAAAGTTAGCAGCAGGTGCTGCCAAGCCAGTTGTTTTCTCTTCTAGTCAGCAGTTCAGAATTACTGACAATGACAGATAATTTTAGTAGCTTTGTCATAACAAAGACAGGGTGAGCATGTTTAGTGGAAGTGGATTTGAATAGAACCCACCCAAGACCCTGGAATCATGCTTCCCCCCTTTTTCTCTGTGAATCACCAAAGTGGAAAAAACTTGAAGTAAAAAACCAGAACTTATAAGAAAATGATAAATATAGAAATATAATAGCAGTATTTGATTACTTAGGTAGTTGGAATAATCAAAAATAGTAGCTATGATTAGTTGATTATT